CGATCCCGACTCAAGTTCGCGCCACCAATTAGTCCCGCGATCGGTGCAAGCGGCCACCTCCGCCGCGCACCGCCGCCGCCGCCGCTGCCGATCCGACAAATTTATGCTAAAAGGAATCATGTGCATAGGGTTGGCGCGGGACGTAGTTCTTTTTAGCATGGATACGTCCAATTACCCGCCTCGCGCATCAGCAGCTCACGTCGAGTTTCCACCAAGGTCGCCCGATCTCATCGCTCGTCAAGCTGCAGGAATTTCGCTGCAAACAGAATCGTCGAATCTCGCGCTCATACTTTCTCCGCACAATATTGGACGTATTTATTCCAAAAGGAACTATGTCTCACGCAAACCCTAAGCACATAGTTCTTTTTAGCATAAATACGTCCAGTTAATCATTTCCCTCTCGAAAGAACGGAACTGCGTCCCTACGTTGCCAAATTTCCCTTTTTAAATCGCAGTTTTAAGATGAAAAGTTTGGTCTTTTCGAACTGAACATTTCCCTGAATTTTCTGCCGACCTCGTGCAAAAATCAGAACGATTTCGGGCCAAAATTGCGCATAGGTACATTCTTGCAGAAAAATTGAATTGTTTGAGTCAATTTTGAAACCTCGGAGTGGAGTTACGTTTCTCCGTCCAAGAAACGACGAATTCGTGACGCCTTGAAAAATCCTTGCGCATCCTTGAATTTGGAGAACTTGCTCACTGGAGAATGTTCAGGTGTCTAAAATGTGATGGATTTTGTTAAAAAATCGAAATGGGCCAGTTGCCTTAGTAATAGGATCGCGTTCTGATGAGCTGGACTGCATTTTGCCATTTGGAACGTCGCTGACTCATTTCTGACTCGGTGAAAAAACAACGTATGTATCATTATTTTCCGTATGATCATGTGATTTTACGATAGAGCTGGAAATTGTAGCTACAAATTACAAAATAAAGTCCAGTTGAGCTTATAAACGTAACAGATTATAAGATCCGCCCGGTATCCAGACGCCCAGTTTACACGTCCAATATTAACGAAGACATTCTCCTAAAAACCCGGCGTACAATGGATCGAATCAATGGGGGAGGTCGGACAAAGTTTGGAAACTTTAAACGCTTAAAACCCCGTTCAAACAAAACTTTGAGATTCTAAAAATGGTTCCTAAAAGCACCCCTTCCAATTTAAAATGCGACGAAATAACATCAAAATTTGCAGTTTTACTCAAAAATTTTGTGACCGACGTCTAGAACTGACTCGATCCACTGTGCGGTGTAAGACGTCATCCACTCGTCATACTGCACACCGAATCGCATACGTTTGCTATGCTTAGACATAAAACCCCAATCTGAAGCTGGGCCGTAGCACTAAACGTACACTCAAAAAACAAGTATGGGAAGAGTGACTTACCGGCCGAGTTATGGATCATGGAGCCATAAAATATAGTTCGTGGAGCCATGCTTATAGGTTCACGACCAATAAAGTATGGCTCAGAAAGCCATACTGTAGACGGTAAGTCACTTTAGTTAGAAATTATGGATCTCTGAGCCATTTTTTATGGGTCTCAGAGTCATACCTTTTTTTGAGTGTAGCAATTAGATCAATCTGCGGGATTGCGGTCTCGTCCTGATCCGACGACAAAACCTCGAAAGCCTCCGCAACATGACAGAACAAGTCGTCGAGGGGTGTAAGCGGAGCGTCANGGGGGGGGGGGGGGGGGGGGGGGGGGGGGGGGGGGTTGCGATTTGCGAAGGCATGCGAAGACGCCGAGAAGGGCGAGGGCGAGGGCGAGTTGGCGAGGATTCCACGGTTCCGAGCTCGACCGCGTAGCCACTCGCCGCGGATCAGCGGACACATTCGACCGAGCTCTGGAAAAGTGGAAAAACACCCTATGAACCCTTCACACGTCGCCAAATTTTACCTGAGGTCTCATTGTTGAAAATGTCGGCGCGACAAGAATCGAAAATCGATATATTCCATCTACAGCGCAGATAGGGCTACGTCTTGTCTTATCGTGCCGACGAAGCCAGTTAAAGTTTCAACGATCCGGCTGCTGGTCAAAAATTAATTTCTAAGAGAACTTATAAATAGAGTCATTTTAAAGTCATCTTCGATAGATTCATTTTCGAATTCCTTATCTCTATTCCCTCTACTCCGTTTGTTCCGGGCTTGGTTCCGGTTTACAATTTTTGCATTTTGATTCGTACAAACATTTGCGTTTGATTCGTATTACACCTCCTACATTCATGATAAGTAACACAAAAACGCGCATACTCTCTCTCCGTACATATTTTATCGATGGAAATTTGGCAAACGTCGGAGGGCGCATACGACGTTTTTCATTGAGACTCGAGGTTGGAACCACGATTCCTCGACTCGGTGCATCATCAGCGGAGTCCTCGTCATTCTCTCGGAGCCTCTCCAGCGAACTTCCGCCAATAGAGATGAAAGGGGGGGATGCTTGGGGGGGATGCTGTGGGGGAAGGGAGGTGCATTGGGTGCAACCGCGTGTGTTGACTGTTGAGTGGGAGTCGCGAGCAGGTTCCCAGTGCGGGCTTGTTACGGAACGGAAGCCTAAGTGGATTTCTGTATGAGCCACGAATGGCACACGTTCTCACGTGTCTCGTGGCTCATCCCAAAATGCACTTGAGGCTCTCTTCCGGAGCACCGGCGAGTATGAGCACGGCTTAGAGGCAAATGTCATAGCCGAGGAAAAAGCTTGAAACGAAGGCGTTAATCCAAGCGAGAGAAAATATTCATAAGCTTGGCTCAATATGCGCATGACCGTCTATAC